AATCCCTCACTTTATCTGCCTCTGCGTCATGAAATTAGTGTGGGGGTGGTAAACACACACACACACACACACACACAGACGAGTCATTTTCCTGTAGGCTGATTCTCACACACAGACATAAGATGTTTGTGATGAAGGGTTTTAATCATCCATGTTTGCACATCAATGATGTCGGCTGTTCAGAAACTTAACCTGCTCTCTCATGAGAAGGAAGTAGGAGAGAGACTAATACCACCAGCCATCCAGTGTGCTTTTAGTATTACTTGTATACTATTATAGTATTTATTAATATTTGAATTAGCTTTTTGTTTTATATTTTCAGTTTACATTTTAATTTAAGTTTTAGTTATTTTGTTATGTGCTTATGTGTTTTTAAAATATGTTTTATTAATATGCTTTAAATGTTTTATAGTATATTTTATATATTTATTATATATTAATATATTTTTTATTTCAGTGTTGGTTTCAGTCATTTTGGTACTCAGTTTAAACTTATTTTAGTTAGTTGCCAATGCAGTATTTTGTTATTTTAAACATTTTTTTTTAACTAAAAGTATTCAATTTATTTATTTTGTTATGTGCTTATGTGTTTTTAATACATTGTTTTAATACTTTGTTGTCAGATTTGAGTTTAGTAATTTTAGTACTGTTTGAGACTGAGTTTTTCATCTGTTTATATTTTATTTAATCTTAATATCACTTACTGAAAATATTATTTATTTATATTTTTAAAAGTTTTAGTTTTAGTTAACAATATCAACACTGTGATGATCGTGCTGCTCATAAATGCTGTCTGACCGGATTCAAGGTTACGAAGAGAAACATTTTTCTTTCTTTGAAGTAACATGCTGAATTGTGCAGGATAAAGCCAGAAACATGTATTAAGATTTAAGTTGACTTTAAAGGACTCCACATTTTTAGAAATGGGCTATTTGTTGGGTCCAGATGGGTTTTCTCATAATATATATATATAAATATTAAAGTGCCCCTATTATGCCTTTTCAAATATTAGCTGTATGTGAACATAAACTATCTGCAAAGTTGTGAAGCCGACAGTGCACGATAAATAAAGTTACTGTCTATCAAAAAAAAAGAGTCGGCTCACAATCGCCTAAACAAGTCGTCAGGAATTCGAATCTTATTCTGTGATGGCTCTACGTCACGAAGTAACACATTTGCATAATGCCAGCCCACGTTCTTCGTGGCCAACTTGCCCGCCCACAAACAGTAACATTTCCGTGTGATTAACATCATGTCGAGAAGACGCTGTATCCTACGCCGTGAGAGTAAATTTGTTTATCACATCTTATAATTACCACAAACTTGTTAACACTTGACACTTACTACCACCGAGAAACGCCCTGCTCCAGTCGTGCTTGCGAATCAGTCTGTTGTCGATCAGCCAGTTCAACCATTTCATCATCAGACTCCGGCTCGAATTGGTAAGGTACAATCGATACCATCTTTTCTATTTATTGACAAGTCTCCAGGGCTGTCATTCCGTCATGGCAATGGGGGTTTCGTTTCCAACACGCGCTGTACGCGGTAGACCAATCCAGAGGGAACGAGACGCTGTGTCGAACGCTTTGGGGAATGCCCTCGGCGAGACACCGTACTGAAGCCTGTGTGAAATCAGTCCAATAGCGAAGCGAGCCGTCACGAGCGAGGTGACGTAAGCAGCCAGGAAGCATAAAGGCACATCTGGCCAGCGCGCCTGTTAGCTTCTGCGGAAGCGAGCGCCTGCAGGGATGCAGGGAGTATGGCAGGGAGACGCAGCGTCTCGTTCCCTTTGGGGAACCATGGTTACATACGTAACCTCGAGACGTTCCCCTTCAGGAACTCGAGCTGCGTCGAACGCTTTGGGAACGAGAATACCCACTGCGCCATACGAGCAAGTCGCTGTCTGGTGTGTATCTGGCGAGCACATCAAGACGAAAGGACTTGGGACCCTGGAGTAGACGCCAGGTCGAGACTGTAAAACCGAATGAATGTGTGCGGGGAGGACCAGCCTGCCGCTTCAGTACGGTGTCTCGCCGAGGGCGTTCCCCAAAGCGTTCGACGCAGCTCGAGTTCCTGAAGGGGAACTAACGTGTTTTTTGAACTTGCACGCATGTAAACCTGTTTTAGGAGACTCATAAAACAATATTAGCAACCTTAAAAATGGCATAATAGGGGCACTTTAAAAAGAAATGAAAGGCCTTTAGTTGACATCACACACACACGCCTACTGTAAGCATTACCTCATCATATTGTTTCGCACTGCTCTTTTCTATGCAAATGAAAGTGAATATTGACCAAGAGCTGTAAATGTCCACAAATGACAAAAAGCAGCATGAAAATATCATGACTTGTGACTGACTTGTGTATGTAATCAAAACCTTCTTTTATGTTTATGTAAGAAATCAATTCAAATTTAAATAGCTATTTACTGAAAACCTTAAAAATCTTGCATAACACCTGTGGTCGCCATTCACCTCCATTTGTATTGAAATATCTGGTTATGATGATAGAATTTACATTTCGTGTCTGCTATTCATCTAAGATATAGCTTATAAACAGGGAACGCTGAGGTGAGAAACTCAAGAGTCATTCTGTGTGGTTGTGTTTTAATTGGGCGACTTAATGAGAAAATCTATGACCGTTTAAATGCAGCGCTAGAATACAAATAACAAGCTTTTTGTCTCTTTCTTTTCCAGGGAGACACATTTCAGCACATTCAGGACATTGTGTCGTCTCTGCTGAGGACGATAAACTGCACAGTCATCACGATGGGCCGAGAACACACTCTCATCGTGAGTTTAAACCAGTAGATCCTCTCCATTCATTGTCCTTTTCTCTCTTTTAAGTCAAACGTCACTATTAATATTGCTCATATTTAGTTAATGATGGAAACAAAGGCCAGATCTGGTATTTTGAGGTTAACTATATCACCAGACCAGAAACATTTATTGCATTAAAATACACAATTTTATTGATGTCATCTTTAAATATCTCATTTACAAACAAGGAAGGAGGAAGAAGAAGTGCATTGTGGGAAATGTAGTCTTAGACTATCAGAATATTGGCGTATAAAAATACATTGATTGTAATATTTGTTATTCTATATATATATATATATATATATATATATATATATATATATATTTTGAAGTCTGGACATGAGTACAGGACAGATACGGAGCGGAAGACGTGCGTTTGAACCAGTGTGTGTGTTAAGTACTCTAGGAAGCAAAAAGTGTTTATCTGATATAAAAACTGATATAAAAATATGTCAGTGTTTTTGAATTCATTGATCATAATGAATCTAAACATTGAAGCTACAATGTCTGTGAGAACATCAAACATTTACACATTAAATTCAGTAATATGTGTTTGTGAGGAAATTAGCAGTTGCATCCATATTGCATTAATGGGACGTTCATGTCATGGTGAAATTACCATAATTACCAGTTTCTAAAACCTGCCCATGTTTTTGTCGAACTCACAAATTACAAGTCAGAAACTCACAATTCAATGAAAACTAAGTACAATTGCAGACAAACAACAGCTGCTGTACCTCTACACATATATTATCTTTACTATTGTTTTATTATTGCTGATGTTTCCAGATGCACATTCACTGAGAATATGGAGGTAAATGAATGTAGTGATTATTATTTTATTTTTTTTTACTTTCATCATGAATAAAGCTGCACATGCAGCTATTATAGTGTTATGCGGCAATTTTCAGTGTTGCCATAGAAATGAATAATTCCTGATTCTGAGAAACTGAACAATTCTGAGTAGAATCTAATTTAGTGATTATGGTAATTTCGAGACATGAACGTAGCAATAGGAGCCATTCGCATACATTTGAAAATGGCCCAAGGGAACCGAATGTGATACGTTTGTTAAAAATGTAACTTTTAATTTGACACAGCGTATTACAAATGCATGTTTATGTAAATCGACCAACTAAAAAATGGCGTAGATGTAATACGAGAATGTTTGGTATGAACAGCCCATTTAGTCACTTTCCCTCTTGCTTTTGCTTTTAGAATCACATTGTAACTTGAAAATGTTAGAACTTTAAAATTTTGAATTCTGTACTTCAATCTTTAATACATTTAAATTCTGTTCTAAAACCTAGTGAGCTGCCTGCTCTCTAAATAGCCAGCATCCTTACTGAAATAGAGTGACTGATTGCTTCCAAACGATTGATTCCGATTAAAGGAATGGTTCACCCCAAAAATGAAAATTTGCTGAAAATGTGGTCACCCTCAGTCCATCCAAGATGTAGATGAGTTTGTTTGTTAATGGGAACGGATTTGGAGAAATGTAGCATTACATCACTTGCTCACCAATGGATCCTCTGCAGTGAATGGGTGCCGTCAGAATGAGAGTCCAAACAGCTGATAAAAACATCACAATAATCCACAAGTAATTCACACGACTCCAGTCCATCAATTAACATCTTGTCAAGTGAAAATCTGCACGTTTGTAAGAAATCAATCCATGGTTTTGACTTCAAACCATTGTTTTCCGGCTATAAACAACAGTCCATAATTCATAATATTGCTTCCTCCAGTGAAAAAGTCATCTCATCTGGATCAGAAGAGAAATATGCACAGATAACTTTTCGAGCAAAAACAGCCCAAAAGAGTTCTAATCAAATATGTGGGTGGATTTTGATGTGAGAAGACAACAGGGGATGGACCTTTTCACTGGAGGAAGCTTATTATAGATTATGGACTCATTGTTTGGCCAGAACCAGAAGCTAGAAGTTAAAAACATCTTAATGATGGATTTGTTTCTCACAAACACACAGCTTTTCACAATACATTAATTGATGGACTGGAGTGGTGTGGATTACTTGTGAATTATTGTGATGTTTTTATCAGCTGTTTGGACTCTCATTCTGACGGCACCCATTCACTGCAGAGGATCCATTAGTGAGCAAGTGATGTAATGCTACATTTCTCCAAATCTGTTCCCATGAAGAAACAAACTCATCTACATCTTTGATGGACTGAGGCTGAGTACATTTTCAGCAAATTTCCATTTTTGGGTGAACCATTCATTTAAACAGTAATTGTAACAACTTGGATGCTACCAACAAGGACAATGCAGTGTGGTTGTATCTTATAAAACGGCCTAATTTGGAACTGCCTTTGCAAGGGGAGCTCAACTACCAGTTGCTTAAAATGCTGTGTATGTAGGCAGATCACTAGGTTTGGGAACAGAGCGTTAGACATTCATTAGTCGGGGACGAAAGCTATCCGCACACAAAGGTCAGAGAACGGTGATGAGGAGATGAGACAGAATCTCCATCAGGATAACACTCCGTCCATCAGCGTAGAGGGATATCGACTGCATTCCGCCTCTGTCAGATAGTATGAAGGGGATTTATTGACTGGTTAGACGCAAGGTCTTGTGGGTCTCCTTGGGTTTTAAATTGTCCTCAAGTTTTCAGGATGTCAGATGAGCTTTTGGTTCAGCCTGGGCTTTGAGAATTTCGTCACAATGTAACAATTATTTCAAAGCGTAATCCGTTCAGTAGGAGCAACGGTTTTAACAAATCCTTTATCCTGGACTGTATTATGAAGCTCATGGTCCAAAAGTTTTACTTTCCGACATTGTAACCACATCTCTATGACAGCAGTGGTGCTGGTGGCATTTTCCATGAATGCAAACGAAAGTAATTATACAATCTAAGCCGCGGTAGATCTCCATGGCGATGGTTCTCTATAGCCACCAGAAACACTTCTTTCGCAGTTTCTTGACGCGGCTCTTGGTTCGAGGTTGTATGTGGGCGGGCTTTAGGACGGGGGCAGGAACATCGTACTCTGCTTCATCCAAGGCTTCCAGAATGCTTTGAAATCGTCCCTCCTGCACACGGAAGTCGTGCTCCACACTAGAAATACAGAAATAGATATTAGGGTAGAACTAAATATAAAAATAAATAATATTAATTATGCAATGAGAGATTAAAGGAATAGTTCTATTTTAATTCTACTTTATCTATATTTATCTTCTTTTTTTATTATGTAAATGTAAATGTAGTTCTCTCAAATTAAAATTAGCTGAAAATGTACTCATCCTCAGGCCATTCAAGATGTAGATGAGTTTGTTACTTACTAACAAACAGTTTTTCACTTCACAAGACATGAATTGATGGACTGGAGTGGTGTGGATTACTTGTGGATTGTGGTATTGTGGTATTGTGATGTTTTTATCAGCTGTTTGGCCTCTCATTCTGACGGCACCCATTCACTGCAGAGGATCCATTGGTGAGCAAGTGATGTAATGCTACATTTCTCCAAATATGTTCCCATGAACAAACAAACTTATCTATATCTTGGATGACCTGAGGTTTTTTTTTTTTTTTTAAGAAAAATAAGAAAACTTGGTGACACTTGAGTAAAAACTGACACATAAACGGAGAAACATTCTTCAAACTCTCAAAGTCTTTCTGTGTTTCTCGCTCTCTATTTCCTTCTGCTCAGTCCGTCATTTATCTCATTTTCTTACAAGTTTCACAGCGCAGCAGTTGGGTTCTGGAAGTTAAAGTCTCATTCATTTTTTTTCCATAGAAAGATTGATTTTTAATGATAATATATAAACCTTTCAAGAGACTGAGCTCTGAAGTTAAATCATTGCAGCTGCTTCTGCTCTGGGACTTTTTTTAAATTTTTTTTATAATGTTTAATAGCCAAAATCACACAGTCCCAAAGAGACCCACCATATGTCTTTGAAAGAAGCCTCTTCTGCTCACCAAGGCTGCATTTATTTGATTAAAAATACAGTAAAAACAGTAAAATGTGAAATATTACAATTTAAAATAACCTAAAATATTTCTATTGAAATATTTAAAAATATATAATTTATTCCTGTGATCAAAGCTGGATTTTCAGCATCATTACTCCAGTCTTCAGTGTCACGTGATTATTCAGAATTCATTCTAATATGCGGATTTGCTGCTCAAGAAACATTTCTGATTATCATGTTAAAAACAGTTGTGCTGCTTCGTATTTTTGTGGAAACAGTGATATTTTTCAGGATTCTTTGATGAATAGAAAGTTTAAAAAACAGCATTTATTTGAAATAGAAATCTTTTATAACATTATAAATGTCTTTACGTTCACGTTTGATAATGCATCCTTGCTGACTAAAAAATATTAATTTCTTTCTTTAAAAAACAAACAAAAAAGCCTTACTGACACCAGCTTTTAAAATCGTCATTCGCAGTGCTTCATGAGTTTAAATAAACTATCTTTGACATCTTTGCAATTTAAAAAAAAATTTGTTTTGTTTTTAAAGTGAAAGTTTATCTCAGAGCTGGTTAGTTTGGGTCAAGGATTTAAAGCTCTTTGTGATGAGTTTTTTATTTTTTATTTTATTTTTTAAATCCCAGTGCATAAATGAAAGACAAATACTTCTGGAGCCAAGGCAGCTGAGATGAACTATTATGACAACTTCATCAAACTGACCATTTCATCTGACTGCAGTCTAGCAGCATGAAGATGTGTGTGTGTGTGTGTGTGTGTTAGGGGTTATGCCCTCTATTTACAGTGTAGCCATAGTCCTGCCTGCAATTTCCCAGCAACTAAGTGAGTTAGAGAGAAAGAGAGAAAAAAGGGAATGTGATGAGCAAAAGATGGAGGTAAAGGGATGAGAGAATAATACAGACTGACAGAGAATATACTGAAGGTTAACAAACCCCATAATGAAGGATGGAGATAAACGCAGTGGGTTCACCAACAGCTTGTTGTAGGACATTGAATGCAAAATACACCTGTCCTGCAGGGATTGTGCCATTGCATTTCTTTTCTAGATCATTATATTATTTCACAGTGAATTGCGTTTGGACATAGTGAATAGTGATGATTGTTATTGCTTTTAATGTATCTGTTTAATATGGAAGCTTGTTTCTGCTTCGGGATAAAAAAAAACAGGGAATTGCGACTTCTTATCAAACAATTCAGATTTTGAGATATAAACTGAGAACTGCAAGATATAAACTCGCAATTCTGAGAAAAAAGTCAGAATTATGAGAACTGAGAATTCTTACTTTTTTCTTGCAATTCTAAGTTTACATCTCACATTTCTGAGTTTACATCTCACATTTCTGACTTTTTCTTGTTATTCTGAGTTTACATCATGCATTTCTGACTTTTTCTTGCAATTCAAAGTTTATGTCTCGCATTTCTAAGTTTACATCTCACAATCCTGAGTTTATATCATACATTTCTGTTGTTTTGTTTCTGCCACAAATAATACAAAAAAATAATTGTGACTTTTTGTCTTACAATTCTGACTTTTTTCTATGAAAACTGAGTTAACATCTCACAATTCTGTGTTTTTGTTTCTGCCATGGAATAAAATATAAAAAAGGTAATTGCGACTTTGTATCTCACAATTCTGTCTTTTTTCTCGCAATTCTGACATTATGGCTTACAATTCTGACATTATTTCTCACAATTCTGCCTTTATATCTTGCGATTCTGATTTTTCTCAGAATTGCAAAAAGTCCAAATTGTGAGATATAAAATGACCATGGCGAAAACAAGCTTCCATAGTTCAGCCATCTGTAGTTGCATTTATACAGCACAGATTGTATATGTTGACGCTCAGTTGAGATTAAACATGATGCTTAGTATCACTTAGTGTAAAGCATCTGTGATGTAGCATTTCACAGGCAGAACTAAAACCTTAATCTCAAACTCTCCTTTTGTTCAGAAAATGCAAATCTAGTTATTTCTGTATTGCATTTGAAACTCAACAGTTTTTGCCAGCTACAAATCTGTTTTTTAGTGTTGCTGTCATTTCAGAGGGCATCATTTGTCACTAGAAATTGCTAGGTGATGTCTCTGATTTGCATATCCAGATGACACATTTACATGTATATGATCAGTGCACCATGCAAATTCATCAACACTGAGCTTTTTTTTTTAGCAGTTCAATTGAGTATGCTTTTTTTGTCATCAATAGTGCTTGCATCACTTTTATTATTGATCAGACTCTGTGTTAGTGAGACCTTTAACTCTTTGTCACATAAAAGACATAAATATAAAGACATAAATGATTAATTGAGAGGGTCATAGAGGCTCTTTTGACTCGGTCTAGTAACTGCAGAGCAACCTCCTGAGGTTTGCATGGGCAAAGAAAACGTTGAAGAAAAGTGTGCATTTCTGTATTTTCAGAAAGCACTATAACCAAGCCCATCTCAACTTTTCGTCATCCCTAGAGGATGAGGCATCAAGACAGGGAGAAGGAGACAGATAAAGAAGTATGGAAGCAGAATTTGTGATGAATGGATCTTTTGAGGGAAGGGAGTTCACTCAGTAAGCTCAAAGCTGGAGTCTGCACTTTCAGACATGGAGAAATCTTAATCATCAATATTATTTTCCAGAAATCATGAGTCAAAGGAAATCTAGCACTATAAATCACACTGCATCCATGAGCGCAAACCCAAAGGAATATGTTTTTTTTTTTTTTGCTTAGATGTTGCTCTGGAGTCTTAAAGATGGCTTGAAATCCATATTTTTGTAGCTTTTAGTCCATTTCTTTTAGCTTTGAGATCATCTTTATGCTATTGTACTTTGAAAAGTTAATTTATAGCAGATACACAATTACACAATTTAAATTAACATTTTTTTTCTCTTCTGGGAAAATGAGTCAGACATATTGATGACTCTTGAAAGAAGATTAAAAGATTAAAGTACAGTTTTTAGAGTGGTATATGAGTTGAAGAAACTTGACTATTGTTGTCAGACTTTAGTGCTAATTTGAATGTTATTGAAGCTTAAACTTTAGTTAAAGTTATAGATATTGGCCTGTCTTCACTGAAACAGACAGCAGCTCTATGTCTTTTTACCTTACCTTAAATGCATTGTTTAATGTTAGGCTATATATGCAAAGTTCATGTGTCTATAAAAAAGATTGGTACAGTAAAAGATTTTGTTAGAACATTATCTCTAGTATGAAGGCTAAAATGTTAGCATTAATGCACCCTCTATGAATGAATCAATACATAAATTAATGCATGAACTCATAAACCAATGAATGAATGCATGCTTGAATGAATGCATAAACACTAAACCTAATGAATGAACGCATGAACGAATGCATGAATGCACAAATGCATGGACAAAATCATAAATGGATGCATGAATGCATGAACTCATAAACTAATGAAAGAATGCTAGATTGCATGAACAAACACTTGAGTGTATGAACGAAAGCATGAATGCATAAGCAAATAAATGAATGCATGAACACAAGCAAATGAATGAATGCATGAACGCATGCATGCACACTCGAATGCATGCATGAACAAATATATGCATGCACGATCAAATTAATGAACGAATTTATAAATACAAATGAATGAATGCATGCATGAATGAACACATAAAAGCATGAATTAATTCACGAACTCAAAAGCAAATGAATAAATGCATGAACGAATGCATGCGTGTACAAATATATGTATGCATGATCAAATGAATTAATGTGTGAATGAAATAAATAATGAATGCATGAACAAATTAATGAATGCATGCATGAACGAGCAGATTAAAGAAACTTGTCAAGCCTACTGTGCATTTCATATGAGGAGCACTATTTGTATGACACAGAGTTTCTGCCTATTAGGGCGCTCCAAATCAGTCACATCAGTTAGGATGCTGCCTTAAAAGGAAGCTGCCTATGTAGACAGCAAAGCAGCATGATAGAATTTGGAACAGAACTTGTGTGTGTGTGTGTGTGTGTGTGTGTTCCTGGCTTTGTCAGACTGTATTGTCATGAGATTAAACTTCAATGGGAAATCCCATCTCTCTTAATTGATTCCCGAGGCTTTACCTCAGTGTGAGTGCTGGAAACATGCATCATTGTGTGATTAGCTCTTCATAGTACGGGAATAATGATCCTGTTTATCCCAACTGGAAAAAAAGGAAGGAAGATAAAAGGGAGGGAATTTCATCCAGTGCTGAACGTGTGTGTGTGTTTGTGTGACAGGAGGGATATCGCACAGGTTTACATTTTTCTCTGGCTTTATGATACGCATGTGTGTGTCCGTCCCTCAGGGCTTCATTATGGTTGAATGGGAGCTTGAGCTCATGGTCCCTCGATTATAACAAACATACAAACCAGCTGACTCTAATAAATACATCAGACACCTACAAAAACACACTCACATCTAGGCAAGTGTAACCCTAACTATGATAAATAGTAATAATGATGCTTGATTTAGCAAGCAGTGATAATTAAGACCGAAACAATCTGTTTCTTTTGCACAGAGTGGATGCTCATAGGTTTCTGCTGGCCGTTGAATGTTTTGATCTGCTGTAGGATATTGATGCAACTCTTAAATCATTCTTATGGTCTCCTGGTGAATTTCTGTCTGTTTCTGCCCCGCAGAAGACTCATAACTCAGATGTGGCTCTGCGCACGATTTATAATATTTTAAATGGGTCATGGAAAATGGATTTTCTTGAGTAGTGTTTTAACCCTGTGAAGTCTACTGTATAACATTTGATACACAAATAGGGCCTCTAAATGATCATCATGATCAAAACGTTGCTGATAAACCTGTTGCACTCAATCTACTACATGTCTTCTGTTGTCTGATTGATATTTAGGCTTTTTAGCAAATAAAAGGCTTTTAGTTTAATTGTACAAACGTCCACCTTCAGCTCGTGCTTCACATGTCTTTTTGCTGTGAAATCGTTGCTGATTTTTATCAAGTAAACATAAAAATAACTTTTATGTTGTTAGTAATATTTCAAGTTGAACACTTACTGGACTGAAGCAGCTTTGCTTGATAATTTTTTTTTAGAACAATCAGTGAGTATCAAATATGATCATCAGGCTTTTGAGGAACATTTATTTGTTCATCTTTCAATCATAATTTTCTGGCATTGCATTATAAGTTTTGATCATAAACTAAGCATTTGAATATCATCTTACTAAGACATATTATTGGAGATATAGAGTGATGACTGATATTTATATAATTTTATGTAAGTATTTGCTATATTTTTATAAAGATCTCATTGATTTACATTTCAAGCATCAGAATTTCATCACTTTTTGTTCATATAAATATCAGCATCTGTACCAAATTGCTTATTTTTGCTCACTTTGTTTCTCTGAATACAATTTAGCTGTTTTTCTTCACATTCTTACTATACCATACTATATGAGCCATAAACACCTGATGTATCAAATGATACAACAAATATTTTTTTTTACATATTTTATCTAAAGGATTAACTAACTGTTCCAATTAAAAAACTATATATGTAGAGTTAATTAGCAAAAACCGATAACTCCATTTATTTATTTTTTTTCAGAAATCACGTTTTTTTATTGCGCATTCCAAGTAATATCAATCAAACTGCAGTTGGGTTGTTTTGATTAAGTAATAATAACAAACAAATACAGGTCATTTACAAAATTAAAGTTCATTGAAAGTATGTTTTTTTTTTACATATTAAAAGTTTGTTTTATAGCAAAAGCAGATAACTCCAGCAGTCGTTTTTTGGCAAAGGCAGATAACTCCACATTTCATGTTCTAGAGTTAAAAAAAACCCACTCGTTTAATCTTTGTAATCTCATCAGATGACAATGTAGATACCTGACAAATGTTGCTGTTGTTGTGATCATAAACTGTATGGATGTGATTACACGCAATACACTGAGCTTTTCCCTCACCATTGTAACGTGCTGCTTTTGCAAGGTTCCGTGAAAATGTTTCAGCTTTTATTTTCCTTTTTCGCCCTGAAGAAGATATCACAGGTTCATCAAGTTCATCGAAATTATCCATCCTCGATCACTTTTAGTCAGCTTTGACGAAACTCCTCTCAGCTAGCACATCTTTTCAAAGTGAAAGTAGCCTTGTCACCTGACCTGAATACAGCGTGCTGATTCGCTAAAATGGACTTATCGGCTTCTGTTCAAAAACAACAAGGGCGCTTGTCGGCTTCTGCAGTAAAACGTGAACTCGCGATGCCTTGAAAGTGGACAAAACCGTCTTGTTTGACAAAACGCATTTAGGGTTCAGATTGCGCTATATGTTGAGAATAATGCACGGCAATGCATTTTTTCTGAAAGTGGCGCTTATCGGTTTTTGTAAATGAACTCTTCATATGTATTTCAGACTGTTATTTCATTTGTCAGGCTTTACAGGGTTACATACTGTCTGACATTCACAGTACAAAACTCTGATGGAGCAAATTCTGGTCTATATTTGTAATAGTTGATCTATAGTATGTACAGTACATATGCATCAGATGGATGTCTCATCTCTCTGCATGAGTGTTGCATTTTTAACATGGCTTTTAGACTCCTGTGTTCTGCTCTATTCAGTCACCGTCGACCTGTTTTTAGCACAGTGTGTCCTGTGTGACACCCGCTAATGCTCTCTGTGCAGTGTTGAGTGCTGTTGCTGAAAGTCTGAAGAGTCACAGTGTAAAGTGAGGTTTTGTCAGCCTCTAACCGACATAATAGCAAAAACACCACTCCAAAAAAAATCACAAAATTAAAAAAGGCTCCAATTTGGCATGTTTGCATGTGGTTGTTACTGGGCTTTGATTAGTGTGAAATGCTTGATGTTGATAAAAATCATGCAATTAATGTGTTTTCATGTGTGCACCACTTCTGACTACTTTATGGTACCGTTTTCATTGTTAATGTGAAGGTTAGCCATTCACAACAGAGGTCATTTGCATATAGTACAGTAGCAAAATCAGCCTGTTTAATTTTAAGGCTTGGACAGGGAGGAAAAAGGTAATAAAAGGCAAAAATACGACATGATAGACATAAGTGGACTGCTGTGGTGATGTTTACCTGTATATGATGCAGGCTGTTTTCTGGCAGGTTGAGCAGTTGTTGATGTCCTGACCTGTTCTGTAAGAACAACGCCTGAAAAAACAAGAAAGTATGAAGACCGGCACACACACACACACACACACACACACACACACACTTGAACACATGAGAAACATGCACACAGAGCATTGAATTAGAGGTCTATTCTTTTGCATCCAACTTCCACCCACAATGATTTTCTTCCTACACACATCTGCATTTGTATTTGTTATTTCCAGGTATTACAAAAGAAGTGTCTTCTTTTCAATAATATCACAGATTCTTTATTGTAGCCTGTGCTTTTGTTGTTATAGATTTTGTTGTTAAGCTTCAGTCCAGTTTGTGTACACTTATATTTATATTATGAATTTTATCTTTGAATGAATTGAAAGTGCTGGAAGTGTTGCTCCAGACTTATTTTGTAATGCAAAAACGCCCAAAACCGAGTCTGCATATAGAAACTTGTATAGAGTTTTTCTACATCTCAGAAATGTAGTCCTGTGTCACAACAAATAAAATCAAGGCCAGCGGGAATCCCACAGGCATACAGACCTCTATTGAATGTCCTTGAAAATGTAATGAAAATTAACACTTTAAAACATACAACACACTCACTTTCCTGATCGATCCTGACAGATCTGAGCTTTCAATCAAAGCAGAGTTCTGATGAAACCATGTGCGTGTGGATGGAGGAGAAAAAAGAGAGGGAAACTCTTAAGAGATTAAGAGAAAGGGTGTAAATGCGTTAGGAGGTGTAGCAGTGAAGATGAGACAGAAAATAAGACATCAGATGAGAGAGAGAGAGAGTGAGAGAGAGAGAGTTTGGGAGCGGTAGGGGGTCTATGTCCCATTGATGATCAAGATTCCAGAGGCGTTGCCGCAGGATGCATCAGTTACCAGGGGAATTATGGGATGATGGAAGTGTGGAATCACAAATCAAACACGCTTTCATGAACTCCAGAGCCTTAATCTCTCTCTCTCTCACTCACCCTTCACTCATTGCTTTGTTCCTCTCCAGGTCCTGAATGACATTGAGAAGGACTTTGATCTTTTCCTGATTATACAGCAGGTTTTCTTCTACATTCTGCAGCAGTCCATATAGAACGCCAGGCACACCGTTGCATTGTGGGATATTGTCTGTTGGAGGTGGGTGGGTGTCTTTAGAGTCTGTTTCCGTCTCAGTTTTAGGTTCTGATGGAGGAGGGGGCGGGGTTTGTGGTTTAGGCTCCGCCCCTGAGCCAATCAGAAGCTCTGGAGGTGCTGGTTTACATTTGACCTGTATTGGTTTCAAGTCTTTCTTGGGTGGAGGAGTGGGCGTAGCTTGGGACTCACAGCCAATCGGTTTAGATGCGGCAGATTTGGGGGTTTGCGTAGTCGCACACTTGTCCTTTGCATCTTGTGATGCATGTTGTGCGGTTGATTCGGTTTTGACTCGTGTTTGCGTGTGTTGCGTTTTGTGCTTTGTTGTTATAGATTTTGTTGTTAAGCTTCAGTCCAGTTTGTGTACACTTATATTTATATTATGAATTTTATCTTTGAATGAATTGAAAGTGCTGGAAGTGTTGCTCCAGACTTATTTTGTAATGCAAAAACGCCCAAAACCGAGTCTGCATATAGAAACTTGTATAGAGTTTTTCTACATCTCAGAAATGTAGTCCTGTGTCACAACAAATAAAATCAAGGCCAGCGGGAATCCCACAGGCATACAGACCTCTATTGAATGTCCTTGAAAATGTAATGAAAATTAACACTTTAAAACATACAACACACTCACTTTCCTGATCGATCCTGACAGATCTGAGCTTTCAATCAAAGCAGAGTTCTGATGAAACCATGTGCGTGTGGATGGAGGAGAAAAAAGAGAGGGAAACTCTTAAGAGATTAAGAGAAAGGGTGTAAATGCGTTAGGAGGTGTAGCAGTGAAGATGAGACAGAAAATAAGACATCAGATGAGAGAGAGAGAGAGTGAGAGAGAGAGAGTTTGGGAGCGGTAGGGGGTCTATGTCCCATTGATGATCAAGATTCCAGAGGCGTTGCCGCAGGATGCATCAGTTACCAGGGGAATTATGGGATGATGGAAGTGTGGAATCACAAATCAAACACGCTTTCATGAACTCCAGAGCCTTAATCTCTCTCTCTCTCACTCACCCTTCACTCATTGCTTTGTTCCTCTCCAGGTCCTGAATGACATTGAGAAGGACTTTGATCTTTTCCTGATTATACAGCAGGTTTTCTTCTACATTCTGCAGCAGTCCGTGTAGAACGCCAGGTGCACCATTGCATTGTGGGATATCGTCTGTTGGAGGTGGATGAGTGTCTTTAGAGTCCGTTTCCGTATCAGTTTTAAGTTCTGGTGGAGGGGGGGGTGGGGGTTGTGGATTAGGCCCGGCCGCTGAGCCAATCAGAAGCTCTGGAGGTGCTGGTTTACATTTGACTTGTATTGATTTCAAGTCTTGCTTGGGTGGAGGAGTGGGTGTGGTTTGGGACTCACAGCCAATCGGTTTAGATGTGGCGTATTTGTGCGTTTGCGTGGTCGCACACTTGTCCTTTGTGTCTTGCGATGCGTGTTGTGCGGTTGATTCTATTTTGACTCGTGTTTGCGTGTGTTGCGTTTTGTGCCTCGTCAAGTCATTTTTGGGCTTTTCAGACAGCGTAAATTCTTCTGTTTTTGCATCTTTTTTGTTGGATTGTACGGGGGTAGAGCATGCGTTTGGCGTTGTGTGATTGGGAATTTGCATGTACGTTGGCTGTGCAACCGTGGAGTTTTGTTTCTGCAATCGAGGCGAACAGCTTTTCCTCGGCGGCGTCGGAAGCGTCATGCTTGCTTGAACCTGACTGGCTGCTCGTTTGCGACAAGCAGGTGCCATGCAGGGTGGTGCTTGAGACTGCCTCCGCCCACAGCTGGCGCACAGTCTGGGTGATGATGTCATCATGCGACATGGGCGAGGGGGCGTGGTGTACGAGCTGGCGGCCGGCCTGGATGCCTCCCCTTTCAGCGACTGACCCCGCCTACATTCACGTGTCATTGTTTGACTCTGCCATCTCGCTTCCTCAGACTCCGCCCCTTCGCTGCAAACGCCACCCACCACCTCAGGAGCAACAATACTTCCGTTAACATACCAGGGGGTTCTTTTTAAACTCCCTCTTGGCCCGGATTGGTTTGGACTGGCTTTGATTTGACAGTACACCTCGCTCTCCTGGGACGTCCTGTCCTGTGCTTCATGGTTCCTGGACGCCGCCTTGACAACGTGCCTTCCGTTAACTTCACAACGCCTCGCCCGATCCAGCGACATGGTTTCGGCAGTTGGTCCGTTGGCTGTACTGACCGTTTGAGTCTTCTTCTTCAATGACGGAAGTGAGCGGAGGCCCGGCGACGTTTGGACGCCAACACTGCACAAAGGGCCCCATTTTTGAGACAGGACGGCCCGCCCACCAGCTAGAGGCACTTCTAGTGCCGGCACCGCATTGGACGTGTCAGCTGCCCTTCGGCCCATGACCTCTGATGATTGGCTCAGCCCCCTGAGGAGGAACTGTAGGAGGTGTGGCCTTTGTTTGTAAGCATACTATCTAAAACAAAGATAATTATTCCTCTGTGTGTTTTGGAAAATTGTATTCCACAGCAATAGAAATAATCGCATTGGTCAGAAATAAATTTTTTACATCCGTCTAGGTGTTGATCCAGTGTCACTTTGTCTCCAAATTCGTTGTTTACCTGACTGAGAAAGAAGAAAGATGTGTGTAAAATACATTAGACTGAATGTGCATGTGCTGCAGCTTATTGAGCTACTCAGAAAGCAGTTAAAGGGATGGTTCACCCACAAAAGAAGATATTTTGAAGAATGTTGGTAACCAAACAGTTGACGGTAGCCATTGACTTCCATAGTATGGAAATAAAAATACTGTGGAAGTCAGTGGCTACCGTCAACTGTTTTATTACCAACACTCTTCAAAATATTTTATTTTGTCTTCAACAGTGCTTAACGGAAAATCATACAGGTTTGGAACCACTTAAGAATTTTAATTTTTGCGGGAAATATCCCTTTAAATGTCAAGTTGCACACTCTGGATTTACACTAAAAAAAGTAGCTAATTGCATTGAAGCTATGTAAGAGGCCGTTATCAGATGATACTTCTTTTTTTTCATTCAGAGTAGTATTTATCTTGTGCAAGAAAATCTCAATTAAGGTAGCGATAGTAAAGGTGCACTCAGTAATTTTACTCTCATTATAAAAGTTTTATACACAAAGTAGTGAAAAGTAATTTGGGAAAAAAAATGTTTAGGTCTTGTAGACTGTAGCACTATTTATCTTTGTGTTATTGGACTCTTTTGCACACAAAATAAATAAATCATGGCTAATTGCAAATAATTTTTAAAATTGGAAAATGTAACTGGAAATAATAGTTTTTGAGTAGTCCTGTTAGCTAGTGCAACTAGTGCACATTATAACAGTATTTAAACAGATAAAATAATAAAACTAGAAAACAGTGTGAATAACTGAGTTCATAATCAAATATTTTGTAACAAAAGGTAACAAATGTCTTTTTGTATTTTAAAAAGCATTTATGGAGGATGAAACTTGCAGAAATTAAAAAGAAAGAAAGATAGAAATGTAAATGATAAATATATGACCCAGTTAATTTTCAAACAGTTCATGCATTTAATTTATTTATAAGTAATATATTTACTAATGTACTCATTAAATTAGTGATTTATTACATGTATTTATTTATATAATTATTTATACATATTTATGAAAATATGTCTTTATTTCATCCTCGATAGATTATTGACTGAGTTCATATGACTGTAAAGCCGTGTGCAATATGTGGTAAAACCATGTTTTATTATGATACTGGTTGGAAAGAGCAGCTTGTTACTTTTTTTTTTTGTTGTTAAAACATCTAAACTATTGAATAGTAACCACAACTGAGTTACTTTCCAACACATGTGTGTGTCTGTAATCAAGAATGCTAGTCAACAGGAGAAAGCAGAGAGACACTCTTAAAGTTCACGTCCATCTTATGCTCAGAGACTCCAATAACCCAACACGACTATTACGAATATTAATGAGGGTTAACAAAATCCCCCATATGTCACATGCAGCTGATTAAAATCTCGCTCTGTCTCGCTGGTTCTCTTCCTGAAGGGCCTATTATTATCACTTTATTCCTCTGTAATCTCCTCCTCGTCTTAAGTGTTCGTCTTCCTTTCTTTTGCTCTTTGATAAGCTCTCTGTGTGTCTTGTAGTTCATATCTTGTTCTCTGTTAAGCTTCTTTTCTTTTATGAGACCGACTCAAAGCTGCCTGTCTCCTCTGACCCAAACACTGTGTGTGTGTTTCTTGCACAAATAATGAATTAAGTATTATTATTTTCAGCAAATGGTCAGAGAAAAGAGGTTCTTAGCCCCAGGGTTATTATAGTTAACAAAAAAATAGTTTAGCTACTTGAAATCAAATAAACATTAACTGCAAAAATATATAACTAAATATTGAATTAAAAAAATGCATTTAAATAAATATTTCAGCTAGTTGTCAATGCAAGATTTCTTATTTTAATATAGTTTAACTTGAAGAACTAAAACTTTAATGGAAATAAATATTTAATAAAAAGTAGATAGATAGATAGATAGATAGATAGATAGATAGATAGATAGATAGATGTCTAAATTTAGTTTAAAACCCTGATTTATGTGAATTCTTTATTTTCTATCACTAAATTTTATATAATTAAAAATAATTTTATATAAGTAAAAACATCAATAAATCAAAACATCAACAAATAAATACAATTCTAAACACTGGTGTTAATGTTGTTTGTTATTTATTTATTAATTTTAATTTTATTTTATTAGGCAACTATTTTTATTTAGTTTTATGCTGTCATCACATCATTTTGTTTTATGCTATCATTAAGTGCTAAAATTGAGAACATAACTAAAACTTTAATGGAAATAAATATTTAATAAAAAGTAGATAGATAGATAGATAGATAGATAGATAGATAGATAGATGTCTAAATTTAGTTTAAAACCCTGATTTATGTGAATTCTTTATTTTCTATCACTAAATTTTATATAATTAAAAATAATTTTATATAAGTAAAAACATCAATAAATCAAAACATCAACAAATAAATACAATTCTAAACACTGGTGTTAATGTTGTTTGTTATTTATTTATTAATTTTAATTTTATTTTATTAGGCAACTATTTTTATTTAGTTTTATGCTGTCATCACATCATTTTGTTTTATGCTATCATTAAGTGCTAAAATTGAGAACATGTAAGAGTGAAATAATATTTGTGGTTAACTGTATTTGATGAAAATGTTCAGTTTTGTTCTACAACATTGTCAAGATCTAAAGTGTACATTTTAAAATGGTTGTGCTTTCAAAAATAAGTTTGATACATTGGAACTAACGCCATCAAATTTTTTATTTATATGCGTGATAAATCACTATTGATATGAGGTGTTTTTTACGTTTTAGAAAAAATGTGAAAGTCTCTTGAAATAACATTAATCACAGACCTTATATGACTTATTTAAAAGTTACTCTTAAATCTAAAACCACTTATGAAAAGCCATTATATATTAGTTAGAAGAGGGACAGTCCAGAATAACCCTTATTAGACCGACATCTGATGCTTTTAAAATGACCTACTTTTCATGAAATTTAAATGTGTTACACTGAAGAAAATGGTGTAGAATCTGCATTGAAACAGTTTTAACTGAGAAATTGCTAGTAAATTTCACAAATAATTACAAAGAAAGCAAGTAACACATTTAAATTAAATTAAATTAAATGTGAAATTTTGAAGTAAAAATACAGATTTTTTTTCTCGTAAAATGTATTCCAATCATCTTTTGAAATTTTTAACACTGTAAATAATAGTTTATTAGTTTATTTAATTCTTTAGCATTGTGGAAAGTGCTTTGTGTGTGTGTGTGTGTGTGTGTGTGTGTGAGAAGAGTTTTGTTGGTCAAAAATGCTAATGACCCCCATTAGCCTCTAACAGATGAACATTATCATACAACACTACTCATTTATTTCAGGCACACACACACACACACACACACACACACACACAACAGGCCTAATGAGGAACAAAGTGTCTGTGTTTAATTATGAGAGTAACTGAAGTTAGTTTGGAATATTTGACTGAATAATTGCAGTTCTTCCTGCGTCCCAGCCGTTACGTTCATTAGGATTGTTTTCATTTTAGCAAACTGTTAGAGACATCTGAAGCCAAATCTCCTCCTCTTGTCTTTCATGTCTGCCGTCTCTGAATCCTCTGGTGCGGATGAGTGTGGGCTGCAGGACGGCTCTTTGCTCTGTGATGTGTTTAGAAGAATTTAGATTCATTGATCTGCTGGATTTGACACTTTTTGACCTTGGATTGGATCAGATAGCATTCATTAACAAAAAGTTCTGTATACCATATGGTATACCATGATATTACCATGTTTTTTGACATTTAACACATTATTACTTTGTACCATTGAGATACTGTGATATATGGTACCATAAGTTAATGGTAAATATGAAATATCACAATAATAAATAATTATGCTGCACTAATAATAAATCTCTAAATATCACTTTTTTTGAGGTGGACATACCAAAATAAATGACTAAAAATACAACAGTTAATTTTGTCTAAAATTTAGATCTATTTTTTTTTTCATGAAAAGAAATTAGTATTTGACTAACAATGTATATTTTAAAAATATATTTAAGTTTTATTTAATGTTATGTTTTTTTAAGAAATTTGTATTTGACTAACAATGTATAATTTTAAAATATATTTGTTTGTGTAATATTATTACATTTTTTATGAAAAGAAGTTAGTATTTGACTAACAGTGTTTATTTTTAAATTTTGAAAAGGAAATCTAGATTTCCCATCATGCTTTGAAACAGACTTTATTAGGAGAGAAAATATTTATAATTAGGTGTTTTTTGTGTGTGTTTTTTTGAACAAAATTAAATGGAGGAGATCTGTTAGTGTCTGTTAGTGTTTAATGCTATTGCCGATGGCTTCTGCAATAACTAATAGTTTTCTTGTAAAACATACCCCAATAATCTTTGTTTTATTTACAGCTTCAAACATTTTTTTTTTTCTTTTACAGTGTAGTTTAAGTTTTTATAGTGTACATCATCTGATACATCATTATGGTACGGCCACAGTGCTTTTCTGTAAAGGCACCTTGTCTTCACACACACACACACACACACACACACACTCCTTGAGTATTGTGTTCTTGAGGTCTCTTGTTGATCTTTGCTACGGTTCATCAGCACACAGCTAGATGTTCCACTTTCATCCCTCCATTTTCCAGCACACACACACACAAACACACACACACACACACACA